TTCAGGGGTGCAGAATTGGGTAGGAAGACTCTGAGGCCTATTGACCTGTCCTTTTACCTCTAGCATCACAGCTGAAGACAAGGCAATGCAGTACTCTGAGGACATGATGGCAAATCTCTTTCTTAAATTGCAAGTTTGTGCAAAATTGGCAAATTTGGCCATTGGACAAAAGTTTTCTACCCTTTGGAAAGCATATTGGTGGATTTCATTTTCATCTGCTGAGCGGGAAGTGGTTCACAGGATATATTTGTAGAAGAACAGAGAACCAAGAGGGATTTTTTGGATTGCTGATTCCAGTTCTCTGCCCCATGAGCAATTATGTCATAGAATCTTCTTTAGTAATTTATCAAGCTTCACCTTGAAGGTTGGCTCTAGGTGGGTTTATGCCTCCATTTTACCTAATTAATTCCTTGTGAGGAAAGAAACCTCAGATAATGACAGTACCTGGTTTTCTTCTGTTCTGGGATGGTTACTAACAATTTTGTCTCCTGATATAATAAAAGTTTGAGTTTAGGGTTTTCAAGTTGGAGTCCAAACTGCTAGCTACACATGGGCCACCACAAAATATTGTGCAAACTGTTAGATACGAAACAGTGAGAGAAAAAGTCCTTGACTGCCTGTTAGCCCCAAAGTGGTCATCTTTGCCCCCTCCCTCTTTCACCTCCTTGTGTCCCCAGGGGTGACCCCCATTACCCTGGTGCACAGCTGGACCCACACAAGCCCCCTGATGCCAACTCTCAGCACCATACTCCCTGGCTGTTACTTGCCTGTGGGAATACAGTGCAGAGATGCTAAAACTGGCTTTTGCCCACATGACTTAACCACTGTTGCTTCCAGCAGGACCCACTGCCCCTTTTAATGTTAAGTATTTGAGATAGATAAACCTGGCTCAAACAATTTTTTTTTTTTCTCTCTGGCCTTAAGTTTAACTAGTGCTGAAATGCGTTAACATAAAATATATATTGCTGTGTACTCTTTTTTAATTTTCCCCCCCTCGCTTTCCCACACACATACAAATAAGCAAACGCTGTCTTCAATATCACAAATATAATGAAAAAGATCAGTATCTGAAAGTGTCTGGTTGGCAGAAGGGGAGGTCTCTCCTCTGCCTCTTTTTATGTCTCTCCGTCACCTTTCACTAGACTATATAAGACTTCCATGTTAGGGAATAAATATGCTTTCAGAGTTTTGAGTTGAATATTGGATCTAAAAATTTTGTACATGTTCCAGTAAATACAAAGTGTATTCACATTCTGCACAGTGACATTATCTTCCCAATCATGTAATGGTACATAATTAGCAATGAGGCACCGTCTTTTTATGTTATGTCCTTAGGATATCACATCTCCCAAAAATATTGAATGTCTGAAATTCTCATGCATTTCCTACCCACGATTCTTCCTCTGAAAAATCTGGAGAAAAATTAGCAACTTCTAATACACTCCTGGGAACCAAGGTCTTTTCTGAGATGATGATGTTACTGCAGCCATACTTCTTTTCATTCATAGCAGGCATATCATATCGAAAGGTGGAATCTGATAGAGCCAGGACGTTGAAGTAGGCTATTTAAGCTGTAGCAGGTAAACTGAAAAAATCTGCTATTTGATCTTGAAGAGCGTTGAAGTGAGTCATTAATGGCAGTAAATTCAACCTGTAGTTTCTCTGTCTTTTATCACATTATGAGCAGCCTTTCAAATGGGTAGTTTGATGGGAGACAGGAACATTTTTCATCACTGGTCAAAGAACAAAAATTCCTGAGTTTTTCTTCATGCATCCGGAGAGCTGTAAAACTAACCAAGGACAAATATGAGGCTGCTGAAATATGAAACAATTAAAGGAAATCCCAGCCTAAATCATAATCTCCAGATGGAAAGTGTAAAAAAAAGAAAAAGTTTCACTGGATGCTCATTCTACTCTTTTTCATTCTTTTTTTTCAGTGAACTCTGCTTACATTTGAAATAAAAAGAATTTGTGGGTTCAGGCAGGAGAATTTAGCATATATACCTATGTTTCCTCAAGAAGTGCCAGTAACAGTAAGCAACTGAAAAACTGAAAAGTAGTTTTCAGCAAGTTGCTTCAATATTCTGACACGATGTTCCTTTTTTGCTTCTAGTGACAGTGGTACAAGCCTTCTGTCTGGCAGTGATTGACAGTAGTTAAGATCTGGGTTCAATTTGTAGGTCTTACTGATCATACTCAAACATCATCACCATGAGCCCTGGCCAGCTGAAAAAATGGCTTCAACTAAATTAATCTCTATGCACCCAGTAAAGTGTCTCTCCACTGTAAGTGTTTTGTTAAAAACTGATCAGGGGTTTACTGGAGGGCAAGGAAAAGGAGAAGAATCATGATATATCAACAGGGAAAGCATAAATGCCTCCGAGAAAGCAACTGCCACCCCCAGAGCAGGCTGGCAATGGTGCTAAGTCCTCCCCCCCCAGCTGCACATGGCCAAGGAAGCAGGAGACTCTTCACCTGCTGGCACTACCTCGTGTAGCTACGGTTAGATTGCCCACAATTTTTCTAATACATGATGATACCCATCACATTTATTTCCCCTGAAAGTTCTTCTCTTTCTTCAGGGTTAGGGCTTGTGCTGTTGTAAATTCAAAGCACCTCCCCTCATTTAATCAATACATTCAAAACCTTTAAGGACAAAATTCAGTTCCTCTTTTCAAGGAGTAAAAGACTGCTCATTTCATTGGAATTGAACTCACTTACATCAGCAATGTATTTGACAGCTCGTCCTCTAATACCTCTGTCTCCCATCAGTCAGAAGTGACAGTGTGTTATACTTGCCAGTATAATGAATGGTGATGAGCATTTTTATCCATGAGGGTACCTCAAGTTCTGATGATTTTATTTTCAGGAAAAGATACTTCTCAATACAGAAAAATGAAAGAATTAATGGGGTTACCAAGAAAAGAAATTCTTTCAATACTCAGAAATAAAATGAACAGAAACAAAATTAGTCTAATATTTTAAATAATAAATTAAGACAAGGTTTATGATGTATCAATCTGCTTTAGCTTTTTGGTGAAGAAGATTCCATTTGAATTATGACATCTCAGGAGTTGATACACTGACCTATTCTAGATAAGTTCTGTTGCACAAACTTGCAATTCTTTGTTTTTCTTGCAAGAGTAAACAGTGGAAAGAGAGCTTGAAACTGTTCTGAGAGCGCCTCCTGCTTAGCAAGTCATTGTAAAGCCACATCACCTTGACTCATTTAGAACTTTATTTGCTGCAACTTGCTGATAAGCATTACAGGTGTATGGCCCAGGTAACACTTTTGGTGGTCCAGCTTCTCTGATCTTCTGATGATGATGGTTGCCCATAACAGCTGTTTGTTTCTGAGGAAAGCGAGAGAACTCCCATCTTAGAATACCCTGTCCAGAGAGAAACTGTCATGCTTCTTCTCATTACTGTTGACTTTCTCACAAAGTGTTAAGGATCATATTTCATACACTTGATAATATGGAAGATTTAATTATCTGTACAAGTGTCCATGTCTGAACTCATCTGCTTTTCAACTAGATTAAGGTCAGTGTTTAATTCTGTTTTACAATGATCATCTCAATAGATGCATTCAGTAAACTAAAATCACTAAATTTCCTCATTTTATAGTTTACAATAATTAAGTTTTGTTGTATTTCCATCTATGCTTAGAGCACAAAACTAACCCTAGTCATAGAATACTTTAATTTGTATATTTTTATCATCTGCTCTGGTATCTGTGTCCTGACCAAACTAAGTAATCCCAGCATTTCTTATCAAGTTGTATGTTGTTCATAGACATCTGAAAATCAGATCTTTTTCATTTAGGTGCTTAACCTGAATTTGGGTATGTCATTTTAAGCACCAGCTTTGAAAGCCGTCAGTCTTCCATTAACCATCAGACTATCTTTACTCAGTATTTTTTAAAATCTGTTTCATGCAAAAAAGTCCCAAACAAAACAAAACAAAAAAGATTCAACATTAAAATTATGCCAGATCCAAATCTTAAGATTGGAATTTTCCTACATTTTGGGGATTCCTGATATTCATTGTGAAAAATAGATGTAGCTGATTCTGTTTTTTTTAACAATGGGTAAAACAAAACCTCATACAACTCTTCAGAGAATAGAGGTTTGACATTCACAGCAGAATGTTTATGGACATCCATTATTTGCAATATATTTAAGAGGAAAATAGTTCAAATCGGGTCCTACAGAATTTATCACATACATACAAAATCATATATTATATTGATCTCCATACATTCTCCATTAATTCTGGGTCTGTGTCATTAAATATCTTAGCTATTTTCTTTTGTAGGGATGTTATTATTGCTATTTGTTATATTTAGCAGCAGCACCTACAAATTCCAACAGGGAAATAACACTGCGTTGTATTAAAATTGTCCAAACAATTAGCTCAAAGCCTGTTTGTGTTTCGGGGAACTCATACTTTAGAATGGGGTGCGGAAAGGAAAAGAATTGGCAAAGGAAATTTGAAGTACACTCATTAAAATATTAATGCTTACAGTTACACTGTCAGGCCCAGCTAGTTCCTCAAACCAGCTGAGGAACAACAGCGAATACTGAACAATCCTCATACCCTAAACAAATATATTAATGAAATGCTGTTTATTAAAAGCCTCTTGACGCATTTCATCCTGAAAATTCCCACCGAATACAAGTGCTTTTGAACATTTAAGGAAGGTCTTCAACACAGAAAATCACTGAAGGAAAGAGAAAGGAATTTTGTCTATCTGTCTATCTCTGGACATTTTGGGGTTCAAAAAGTTTCAGAGGAGGGGATTTGGCGTTCTTCTGAGTCAGTTTGCTCTGGCTGAGGAAATGACGAGAAGGAAACTATTTCCCCGTCTCAGGAACCATGTGGTGTTCCAAGATAAGGCGAGCACTTGCTAATTCGAGTCCACAAGCAGGAAACGTGATACATCCATTTCCTTTTGGGTGAACAACACAGTTCCCTGGCAGCACAAAAGCATTGCTTCTACTGCTAGATCTCAAACGTTCAGAAACACACTGCTCCTCTGTGGACATACCGTTCTATATTTGTTATTTGGATGTTATGGATAGAAACAGTACTTACTCTCCAATCACATGGCCACCAAAGTTTTGGGGTAAGGATTTTTTTCTTCTTCTAGAATATCATTAAAGTAGATGCTGAGATTTGCTGGTGATTGCCTTAAAAAATACATCTAGATACTTTCAAGCCTCATGTCGGAAGCAAAAAGTAATGAATAGATTTCGTATTTCTTGCAGTGCAAAAGATTGTTTTCCAAATGTTTCTTTGATAAAGTTTTATCATGTTTTTAAACTAATCAAGACAGTGGGAACTGCCAGGGCAGAATTGATTGTTTGACAAAGTTCATTACTGAAGTCAGTTGAAGAGGTGTCTATTGACTTCAGTATGTTTCAGATCAGGTAGACATTCTCAACCATTTAATGGATGCACCTACACGGCAGACATGATCTGTTTCATCTTCTGATGAAAAAGAGATAGCAAAAACTAAACATGTTGCAACCTTTGGAATAAACTCTTACTGCTCCAGAATGAAAAATTATTTGTAATTTGTTGTGGTGTCTCATGATCAGATTTTCTTTACTTTTTCCTCAATGTATATTTTGATTATTACCCATTAAGACTGTTTTCTTTCACCCAAACCTGGGAATGGTTCATTAACTGAAATGTATGGAGTGTAAGGTGGAAATATATGTTATACCAAAATTCATTCAAGGTAATTAGATTCAGTGACTTGATCCTAAAGGATTCTGTGCAACAGCTGTGGAGAACCTTTCCCTCCAAAAAGCTCTATTGCTTGCTATGTTTAACATTAACATGCATTAGCATTTAGCATTAAAGTGAATCATATGATCTGGTTTTGTCTATTGTATTATCGCTATTGAGCCATGATGCCTCCAAGAATCTGTGCACTATCTAAAACTAAAAAATAATATGCATTAGCAAAATAGGACTTTTGTTGCTTAGAAGTACCCTGGGAAAAGAGTGAAAAATAACTATACAAGAAGATTTAAAGAAGTTCCTTCATTTCCTTAGCATAAGAAACAAGAATCTGTTGAATGCCATCCACATGTTTCTTGCAGTGACACATATATTTTCCTACTGGGAGACCGTGAGCAACACACTTCATTTTTGTGTCTTGGGCTAAAGAGTAGGATAATGATACTGGATGTCTTTGAGAAATACTTACAGATTAACTGGGGAAAAAAATCTGTTATTACTGTTTCAGAGTCTCTGGTTGTCTGCTGGAGTCTGAAGAATAACTATCTTTTTTGTAGAGTGGAACTACATGTAATTCTAAAATGGTTCTTTCAGAACAAAAATGAAAGTGCTTTCATCAACATGTACTTTAAGAATCCTTGAATAAAAGGTGCTGCCCCTTGTTACTGCAAATTTGCTTTTGTTCTGAGGTAAATTATTTCTTCACTGTCATGGAAACATACACAAGAAAGAACAAAGTTATATGAAACTCTAAGGATTCATTAACCATACTGCTCAAACTGTGGGCAAGGTGTTCTCCGTCTTCATGAAGAGGCAAAAAAAGTACCTAAGAAGTGAACGTATAAATTCCACGGCATATTGCAGGCGGCTGGCCCCGCTGGTACTGCTGTTACTCTGTCGTTCCATTTAAAGTACTCCAGGTGCGCCAAGCCCTGGTCCTTCAATAACAAGAACTGCATTTGACAATGCAGAGCAGGACACGCATGAGCTGTCTTATTGCTGAAAGGGCCAGCATCTCCTTTCACCAGCACTGCCCGCCTGGCTTGCCAGGGACTGATACTGTACCCAGCCTAGATCACCTCCCATTTGCTTACGCTCTGACAGCAGCTGAACCTCACCGCTTGGGTTTTTGTGAGGAGCTTGCATGGTCCGGGGAAGGGAAGATGCCTCTTCGCTTTTTCTTATTTTTCTGATAGATTTTAGAAGAGTTCATAGCATTTCCTCTTCCTTTCCATGTAGGTATGTCATATGTGGTAGACTAGGGAGGGACGTTGTACAGTCTGTGTCAGAAGACAATGACTGACACAAGCTCACTGTGAGGAAACTTCACTTAAAATGATAGAAGTGGTATTTTCTGAGGTAAAAATAAAACTACACAGAGTAGATATAAATAAAATGAAGTTCTTTATTAAATGAGGATGCAGCACTTGAAACTGTGATTTTTCAGGATATGGCTTACAGGCTGTTTCACTGTTTTTCTAAGCCACCCACCACGTAGTCCTGTGAGTGTGAATACATTACCAAGACGCAGATCCTTTTCCATGCACGTGTAACTTCTCAGCAGCTCCCATGGACTCGGCCAAAGTGTAGACTTCAACATGTGCAAAGGTTTGCTGAGAGGGGCTAACTTTGTTAGAAAAAAATAAATGCTGTAAAAATTGTTAAAGCAACTATTTATAATGGTATTTAATCTCTTACAATTTTATAAACCATCTATTGTCTAACAATTGGTTCCCTACTCTGGAAAATATACAGGCATCCTATTTTCTAAAGCTGTCCCGTTTCCACCGGTAACTTCACACAATTGCATCTTAAAAGTGACTCTAAGAATTTTAAAACAATGAACAAACTAAACTGTCCTCTGCTTATTTATGTGTGAGCACATATACATCTTTTTACAAGTGCTCCAGGTTAGTGGAAGTGTGCATGAATAAAGCTGTGTAAATAAAAACAAGATATACACACCTTGATATAAGTCATGCTGTGTGAATTGCCGAAGTAGTCTAAATCCTCTCTCTCTATATTCATGCAAAGACCTTAACAAATAATAATATATATAAAAAAAAAAAATTAGCACACTTTTTTGCAAGCTCAGTGTAGAGCCAGTGACAGCCTGGAGAGTCAGTAACATGTTTAGCTGCAGATCTTGCAGGAATTCTTCCTTTGAATTCAGTCTTCACCATCATAATTCTGCAGCATTTTTGAAATGCTAAGTTACGCAGCAGAGTAAAACAGAAGAAGCAAACCAGTAGTTTTGCTGGCCTAAAATCAATTCTACTGGAAAAAAATAAAAAAGGAATATTGACCTCCTCTTCTGGTTTAAATTCATGAGTTTCATGATAGAGCTCCTGGCCCTGTCAGCAAGTATCTTCTGTGTAATGTGTCACAAGCACAAAATTTGGATTCCAATTCTCACTTTGCTAGAGCTGTTCCCTACTACAGATGTTGTGCAGAGTCTTTGCAGACATACGTTCCTGTTTCAGGCAAGTTGTCTGAGCTACTGCAAGGATGCAGGAACTCATCTCTTTCAGGTGCCAGTTTCTATGAAGCTGTGTAACCTCTGGTCACCCTACTCTGCGGTGGGAATCCATAGTATGGTACTTTGGCAGAGGTAGGAAGAGAAGCACTTAAAGCCAGCCTCTGCTGAACTTCAGCACTCTTGGTATCACATGGGACTGCAGACAGAGAATCTGGATTATTTTTTTAATCGGTAGTTTCAAAAGGAGGTTTGGCAATAGCTGAGTGAGAAGTTCAGGGTTTGGTACCCATCCATCAACTACTAATCTCATTTTTTTGCTGTTTTAATATAGTCTTTATTGAGTTCATTTTGATTTGTAAGTTAACAGTGGGAGCAAAGATGTTTCCATTTTAACCAGGAGTGCATTTCTTGTAATTCCTAAAAGCATTTTCAGCCACACACAATCAAATACAATAAATGGCTTCAAGTCAATCCCATTTCTCCAGTGCAGATGGTAATACACTTTCAGATCAGGAAATCTAATTTAAATAGTACATTTGATCAATATGACAGCAGCAGAAAGAAAAAGTGTAAGCAGATATTAATCAACATAAACTGAGACCCCTAGACTATCCTTCAGTCTAGTTTTACTCAAGTATCTATTTAAAAATGCAACATTACAACTTAATACCTTAAAAACATTAAGAACAATTTTTCTTTTCTTTAATCAGAATCCAGGGTGTTATTTGTCCAGTATGTGGAAATGATGCCATATATCAGCTGGCTTCCAACATTTTAAGATTAGTGCCTGGCACTAATACTTTAAGCATTATCACTTGACTTTATAAGCTACAAATGCACTCATGGTTTTAAATATAATGTCGAATTTTGCCTTGTCTCTCCCTCAACCCGCTGGTCGTATCCTCATTAAAATGTGTCTGTTTGCTTGAAAGAAGTCAGACTATATACTCTGCTGGAAAAGATGGTCATTAGAAATGAGCATATTCTAACACCTGATACTGCATTGTGGTATCATGTTACTGGTGGAGCAATAATGGTATTGCATCATTCTCTTTATGAACTGAAATACTACTTGCGAAGGGCAGCACTGACACGAACAGTAACACAGCTGCCAAACGCAGGAAAGTCCAACCTAGACAGCCATGGGACCTGATTTATCTTCTGGGGTCCTTCATGGGTGGTAGCCATGGCAGAGTAGAAGCAACAGCAGCAAATCCAGTCCAGTTCTTTTCCAAGTGAGAAAAGAAGCATTTGGCTACTTGTGTGGTGACCAGGTTAAGCCTGTTGGCTTTCACTCTGATGACTATGTCAGCGCATTTCCAGCATATCCACTGTGTGGTCTCTCCTCCTTCTCTTTGCTCCTCTTCACACACTTTGTACCCTTCCAGTCTAGCTTTAGCAGCAGCAAATAAAGACTCCGAGAGCTGCCTCAGCTGTCCTGCTGGAGATGTGGACACACAAAGGCTACAATTTGGAGCCAGCTGTGGAGCACTTGACAGCAGATGTGGCCGTGGTAGCTTCTACCAGCTACTACTCTTCCTAGTTTGATGGCTGGAAAAGACCAGCATAAACCAGAATACCCCAGAAGGCCTTTATCCTGGTAGACTGGGAATTGCTAGTAGGGCAGAGGACTTCATTAAGCTGAAGATGCAATTCCTTTGCTGGCGGATAGGAGGAAGTGAAGGTGTGACATAGAGCCTCTTATAGATGCTTTACACCACTGGAGATTTTTTTCTTAGTAGAGAAAACCTTCAGGGTTGAAGTGGAACAAAGTAGGAGGAAAACACAACAGAATTAGAGCCTTGGATTCAGGTGCAGTATCAACCTCAAGGATGTATTTCCTGAATTGCTATTTTTCTTCTTCTTTTCCATTCCCTTTCCTCCGTTTTCAAAATTTC